AAAAATAAAAGTTTTTTTTATTGTTTTCTTTCTTTATTTTTTTTACTTTTTTATCCCTTTTTTTAAATAAAAAAATAAAATAAAGAAAGCAATAAAAAAAACCTAAAACTAACCCTGCTAGCGCACCGCCATGCCATGCCTGATTCAAAAACTGGCAGGAGCCTGCGTGGAGAAGAGACCCACGATTCAGGTAAGTGTCTGTGTATGTGATTAAGTTTCATGTTACACCTTATATATGGGTGTAACATGAAGCATGGTATAACAGCTAAACGTAGCCTTTAAAGGTCTTCCAATTTTGAATGTAGATTGCAGAACCCAAACATTTTTGTAGTAGTAATTTTCATGTACACAGACAGTTGTCACAGACAGATACCTGTGTGTCTGAGTGAGAGATGGTCGGGAGGGAAAAAAATAAAGGAACAACTTCAGTATAGCACCTAAACTACAACAAATAATTTGAATTGGCTATACTGTACCAGTCCCCACTTTTTCTCTCTCATTTTTTTACATATTTGTCATCATTGTATTGGCATGTGTCATTGTTAATCAATCTTTTTATAAATTTGGTCTAACACCTTTACTAGGTTCCCTGATAAAAATGTGTGAATAAACCAGTATGTGTATATAATCTGTCCACTTATCTCCTACTCTATCCACCTTAGGTGATCCTTGAAAACTTATCTCTTCAGGGAAGCCTATCCCACCTCCACATAATATTATTACCTTTTGTACCTCCTACTAGATTGTAAGCTTTCACGAGCAGGGCCCTCTTAACCCCTCCTGTATTGAAATTGTATTGTTAACTGTATTAACTGTAAGATCAGCAGCAAGGATGGAACTAAATTGAAAGGTTTAATTGTTTCACTATTACGTTTTAAAATATATGAACTATCGAGTACCGATATTTATTTTTTTCGGTACTCGCCGATACTGGAAATCACATTAAGGAAGCCAGGTGGCGTGTAATAACTCGCCACTTGGCTTTCTAAATAGCCGGATGGCGCGTAAAGACTCGCCACCCGGCTTCCCGATTAGCAGGAAAGCCGTCTCCATGCTCCATCGTCACTAGGTGACAAGAAAGCATGGCTTTCTGGCCAATCAGGAAGCCCGGCGCCGTGTAATGGCGCATTGCCTGGCTTCCTGATTGGTCGAGAAGTTGGCCAATCAGGAAGCCAGGCAACACGTCATTATGCAGCGCTCTAGGTGATGAGGGGGCATGAAGCTGGCTTTCTGGCCAATCAGAAAGCCGGGGGGGGG